GTGAGAGAGAGAGAGAGAGAGAGAGAGAGAGATAAATTAACAAATCATGGGCGTTGAAGGCACCCTCGATGTGTCTGTATCTGGCCCAGTCCGTCAGTAGTATACATTGGACTCCATTTTGTGCTGCAAATCGACTAAAATGAATACGACGGACGGGACATGGCCAGATACATTCATATCGAGAGTGACCACTCTCTCTCTCTCTCTCTCTCTCTCTCACACACACACACACACACACACACACACACACACACACACACACACACACACACACGCGCGCGCGCGCGCGCGCGGGTGCGCGCCCTCACATGGTGCAGAGAATGAAATCAAGAAATTTAAGAAACGCGGATTCTTCTTGAATTTTTGGGCGCATTTCTTGATTTTCCCTGCCCACTCATGAGAGCATGTGTGTGTGCTTGTGTGGGCGTGTGTGTGTGTGTGTGTGTGTGTGTGTGTGTGTGTTTGTGAGAGAGAGAGAGAGGTCACTGACCGTATGAATGTACCTGGCCAAGTCCGTCTCTCGTATACATTTAGTCAATTTGCTGCACAAAAATGAAGTCCAATGTATAAAACAGACGGACATGGCCAGATACAAACACATCGAGGGTGCCTTCAGCGCCCACCATTTCTGAACATATCTCTCTCTCTCTCTCTCTCTCTCTCTCTCTCTCTCTCACACACACACACACACACACACACACACACACACACACACACACACACTCCCGCGCGCATAGCAAAGAGAAGAAAATCAAAAAATTTAAGAAACATCGATTCTTCTTGAATTTTTTGGCCGCATTTCTTGATTTCGTCTGCCCGCTCATGTGTGTGTGTGTGTGTGTGAGAGAGAGAGAGAGAGAGAGAGAGAGAGAGAGAGAGAGAGAGCAGATACCCATGACTACTATTCCTCTTTTGAAAAAGCCTTTATCGGCCACGTATCCAACAGGGCAAAGTTTTGACAATATGGATCTAAGATGCCTAAACCTTCACCCGATCTATGACAGGTCATAGTTTCCTAAGCAATTTTTTACATATATCCTTCTTGCTCCTTTTCCTCTCATTTCAAAAGTAATCTAGTTGCAGCTCCCTCAATTTTATTGCAGACATCTTCACGAAGCAGATGAATTGCAAGAGTGAACGAGAGTATCGAGAAGCCTGTAGGTGAGATTATCAAGGTTTTTTCCACAAGAGAAAAATGTCTTACATGCTTCTATCTATTGAATCTGTTTACTACTCTTTCTTCTAGTATTGTATCTTAAAGGGCGACATTGTTTGAGAGGGATACTTGTACTCCTAGAAATCGCTCTTATGACGCAACCGGGACACCCTTTAGTCCCCAATTAACCTTAAAATGATATTCTTCAATGATAAAATACATAGATTTGTCTTAATTTATGGAAGTCTTAGATAATTACAATAATTATTAAGGACATTCCTAAGCTAAGTAGTTTTTCCGGATATCCGGATGGCATTGGACCATCCGGTATATCCGGTCGGAAATCGGCCCTCGGAAAACCCCGAAAATAATACTTTTGGGTCTGCGCAAAATATGTGCAGAGTTTTTTGGGGGCTGTTTGGAGCGCCAAGGGGTTTTTATCAAACCTCGGGACCCCGTGGCGATGGTGGATCCGGTAAGGACCCCACCGATTTTGAAAAAAAGGCCCGATCTGGAGCGTCAATCCGCAAAGATGGACGACCCAGATAGTTTTTTTTTTTTTTTTTTTGAAATCGACCCTCCATCGACACATTTCGGTCAGCCTGAGGGTAGTAGAACGCCCGTCCTTCCCTGCCAACGACCTGCTGCCCCGATGTCTCGCTGCCTGTTGCTCGGCCCCTCGTCGGTTAGCACACACGGCTCGCTGCCCTGTTGGCCGGCTGTTGGAGCCATTGCCGCCGTCGCCATAGGAGCCATTGTCGGGTGCCACTGCACAGAGCCATCGCCGAGGAGGTGCGCAAACGCCCCTCCTCACCCTGGACCTCTCCCCTCCTCTTCCTCCTCGTTTTCCTTTCCTCTTCTCCCCGTCCACCTCTTCTTCATCACCATCCTCCTCTCCTTCTCCTTCCTCCTCCTTCATCTTTTTTTTTTTCTTACTCCTCTTCTTTCTCCTCCTCCCAATTTTCTTCCTCTTCCTCCTCAACCTCCTCCTCTTTCTATTCTTCCTCCTTGAAGTTCTCCTCCTCTTTATCTTCTTCCTCCTTCTCCTATTCTTCTACCTCTTCCCTCTCCTTCTTATACTCGTCCATCTCCACCTTCGCCTCCTTCTCCTCCACCGCTTCCTCCTCCTCTTTTTCTACTTCCTCCTCCTTTTCTACTTCCTCCTCCTCCTCCTTTTCCTCTTCTTCTTCCTCCTCTTCCTCCTCCTCCTCCTCCCGGTCATCTTTCTCCCCCCCCTCGTCCTCGTCCTCCTTCGTGTCTGCTTTCCCCTCCTTCAGCACAACCACCTCCATCACCGCAGTCGCTCCCTCCTCCTTGTTGTCCTCCTTCTCCCTCCTCGTCTTCGTCCTCGTCCTCCTTGTCCTCCACCATTGCCTCCTCTTCCTCCTCTTAAGCCTCATAGTCCTCCTTTTCTTCTTCCTCGTGCTCCTGCTCCTCCTCTTTCACGATTGTCTTCGCCTTCATCACCGCAATCACCTCCATCGCTACAACCACCTCCTCGTCCTCCTGGGAGTCCTCGTCCCCCTTTGTCGTCGCCTCTTCTTCCTCCGCCATCGCCTGTATCCTTATCCTCTTCTCCTCCTCCGAGTTCAACTTGCACTTCTCCATCTTCTTCTTTTCTTTCTCCTCATT